CCCCCCCCCCAAAAAAAAAGGATCGGTTCCTCGAAACATCCGTTAAAATTGCAACAAAAAAATAAGGAGAAGATGAAGATTAGCCTGGTCCCTGAGGTCCCTGGGGTCTTGAGAGAAAGAGTATAGCCTAGTAAAACAACAACAACAACAGAAAATCAACCCGAGAAAGTGGAGCAAGTGGGACAAGTTCCGTGACAAACGCCTGGGACAAATGGTACCGTCGTCGGAAAAACGGCTGGGACAAGCGGTGGGACAAGGACCTGGGACAACTGGGACAAGCGGTGGGACAAGGACCTGCGACAAATGGGACAAGCGCCTGCCAGTGGGATAAGTGGGACAAGCGCCTGAGTCGGAAGTGGGACAAGTGGGAGCGATTCCACTCCTGACGAGGAAGTGGGACAAGTGGGCGACCGAGTCACAAACCACGAGTCTCAGACCGGGTGGCGAACTCTTCCACCCAAGTTCCCTTGCAAACACGGGAGATACCCCCCTAGCATACATAGCGATGCTATGTTCACGCTTACAAGAATAATGAATGTGGCCATCGTAGAGGCCAGGTTCGTGCTTAGCAAGCATCGTGAATCTCCCCTGTTCGGGGTAAACACAGTTATCTCCCGTGTACGCCGGGAAAAGAGAGGAATGGCCCTGTTTTCTTTTCTTTTTTTTTTTTTCCACAGAGGGAATGGCCCTGGTTAATACTTCTTATTCTTGTTCTTCTTCTTCTTCTTCTTCTTCTTCTTCGTCGTCGTCGTCGTCTTTGATCGCCAGATTCATGATGCTTGATAAATAAGAACCTGGCCTCTACGATGGCCAGATTCATCATGCTATCTAAGCATGAACATAGCATCAGTGTGGAGCCTGGTCCGTACTCTACTCTCCCTTCTCATCGTTCAGGAACTTGACCTTCCCATGATTCAGCAAACTTCACAAAATCGCACTTAAAAACTTTTCGGACACAGGCCGTAATTACGGTCAGATACGCGTGAAAAAGTTGTCCGTATGGCCCGAGTCTCCGCCGTTTCGGACACAATCTGGCCATAATTACGGTCAGATACACGTCAGAATGTCCTATGTATGGCCTGAGTCCCCGGCGCTTTCTTCACTTTGCGTTTCCTTCTATTTCCCCCCACTTTTTTTTTTTTTTTTCCCTTTTTCCGAACGAAGAATCCTCATTAACGCGACAAATAGGGGCAAACGAAGAATTCCGTTTTTTTTTTTTTTTTTTCCTTTCTTTCCATTTTTCACTGTACACACTCAGTGTGAAGCCATTTCCTTTATAAAAAAAAAAAAAAAAAAAGAAGCTATTTCCTTTTCCTCAAAAAATAAACATAAATGTTTCCTTTTCCGATGCGTTCCGTTATTTTATCCGTTTATTAACAATTATTACATCCGTGTATCGTGCAGCATTGTTCTACGTGTGCTGCATGGAACCTGCAAGCTGTTCACAAGTCCCTTTGTATGTTTCTTTTCTTTTTCTTTAATTGTAACAAAGGTCGGCACTTTTTTTGGGGGGGGGTATCGATGCTCATGGCACATGCAAGTTTATCACAGGTCTCTTTCTCTTTTTTTTTTTTGTAAATGGACGTAATTGCAGTCAGATTCATCCAGTTCTGGCCGTCATTGCAATCAGATACATTTAGAAAAGTCCTTGGGCGAGCATGGCCTGAGATAGAAAAAGAGAGAAGTACAAGAGCACAGCAAACATCTGTGACAACATCCATGCATGCATCTACTGCACGTAGACAAGGTCCCATTTCAAAGGGGGAAAAAAAAAAAAAAAAAAAAAAAGGGGATCCCGCATTTCCACGCATTAGTGCCGATCCATCACGAAGATCGACGACTCAGATCTCTTGATTGGCGTACGTTGAACCTGGTCCCGGCGGGGGACCAGGTTCGCATTCGTCAGAATCTTCTTTCTGACTCAGCCAGACTGTTAGCAGTAGCAACCTACCGGCATAAGAAAAGGACAACCCAACCACGTGGAACCTCGCTCGCCGTGAGAGTGATAGCGATAACATCTCCTGACGCGGGGTTGGCCAAAAAAGGAAGGAGAAAGGGGGGGGCAGGGGGGGAAGGGCTCATAATTGCCACTTTTAAGGTGAAGAACTTCGTCTAAGAGAGGAAAAGGAGGAGGAAGAAGAAGAAGAAGAAGAAGAAGAAGAAGAAGAAGAAGAAGAGCCTGAAGAGGAAGAAGGAGAAAGCAGCGCCCTTGCAACATGCTAGTTCGACGAATCGCCGAAGTGAAGAGTCAAAAATAACGTAAGAAGAAGAAGAAGAGGAGGAGGAAAAAGAGCACCTGACGACAAAGAAGAAGAATATAGCAGCAGCAGGAGGCTGCGTAATCCAAGCTGCTTCAGACAGTTACCGAAATCCAGAGCGCAAGCGCGGGAGCCGCCCAAGAGAGAGAGAGAGAGAGAGAGAGAGAGAGAGAGAGAGAGAGAGAGAGAAAAGCCTATGTACGTGTGTTCGCGCGTGAGAGAGAGAGAGTGAGAGAGAGAGAGAGAGAGAGAGAGAGAGAGAGAGAGAGAGAGAGAGCATTCTAGATCAAGGGGAACAGGATCTGTGTATGTATGTGTAGGGTAGGGTAGTAATCATACCGTGTGCGGCTCCGTGTATAGTACGGGCCATCCCATTCGATTCGATCATTCTGTTAATACCAATGCGCAGTTTGTCCCCTTGCGAATCGATTCATTAAGAAGAACTAAGCAGGAGCAGATCTGCTTTGGTCACACAGCTCATTTAGTAAGTTGATTTAACACAAGGTTCACACACACGCAACGCATAAGGATGTATTACGGATGTATATAATGACCAGATTCTGAAACAAACAGCACGTAACATAAGAAGGATAGGCACAAAGGGAACACGGGAGTAACAAACATCCTCAGCTGTTTCGTCGGACCGGCTCTCAACGACCCTCTCCCTCTCTCACCAGGAGATTGAACACTTGATTGTCTGCAGACAAGCTATAGGCAAGTGAAGACAAGCTATAGGCAAGCTATAGGCAAGCTATAGGCAGAAAGGCCAGGAGGTTGTTGCTCTCTGCCCGCTTGGCGAACTCGCTCCTATAGGTAAGCCATAGGCAAGCTCTGTACCAAATGTGTACATGGAGGGGTGGAAAATGATGAAGAGAAAAAGAGGTAAGGAAAAATAAGAGAGAGGGCAAAGGAGAGCAAGGCAGCGAGTGATGGGGGTGGTTTGTGTGGGTGGTAAGGAGTATATCTCACCATGGCAAGCGAATGCTGAAGTCCCATGACGATGGCGATGAGGATGGACACTTTGTCGTCTTTCCCAAGAAACGGAGGCAAGCCGTTCGACCTTCTCCATGGCAGACGAGGCATACACAGGAAGCCCCAGTCGTAATCTCCCAGAAATGTTCGTCGTACATTGAGCTGCATCATTTTCGCCAAGTAGTCAACCTTCTGCTGGGGACTCAGCTTGACAATCTCGCCAATCTCACCAATTCGCGCGCTGCGTACTCAGCTCGACAATCGCCGCACAGAGACAGAGAGAGACACAGAGAGAGAGAGAGAGAGAGAGAGAGAGAGAGAGAGAGAGAGAGAGAGAGAGAGAGAGAGGGACCACTCTCCGTGGTCTTGATCTAGAACAGTCCGTCAGCTGGCCTGCTCTGGACTCGGGTGGTAGTAAACCGCAGAGACACTGGTGAGCAAGGAGAGAAAGAGCACGAAGGCGGGCGGGAGAGGAGAAAATTCACACAGAGAAAAAAGAGAGAAAAAGAGAGAGAGAGAGAGAGAGAGAGAGAGAGAGAGAGAGAGAGAGAGAGACCAGTCGTCGAGCTGTCGCTCTCGACGACAACCAGTCGGTCACCTGGTCCGCTCTGGACTCAGGCGACACGCAAGAGGTTGATGAAGAGAGAAAGTGAGAAAAGGAGAGAGCAAGAGAGAGAGAGAGAGAGAGAGAGAGAGAGAGAGAGAGAGAGAGAGAGAGCAGTCGTCGAGCTGTCGCTCTCAACCACGACGACCAGTCGGTCACCTGGTCCGCTCTGGACTCAGGCGACACGCAAGAGGTTGATGAAGAGAGAAACTGAGAAAAGGAGAGAGCAAGCTAGAGAGAGAGAGAGAGAGAGAGAGAGAGAGAGAGAGAGAGAGAGAGAGCACTTTGTGTTGCTGATGACGAGCGCTGAGTTGATGGTGCGCACTGGTCGCGGAGTGCGATGCACGATAGACAGGACGATGGACTGAGAGGGAGGAATTGCGTATGGGAAAGGACACACCGACCGACGTAGAGGAGGACCGACGAAGAAACAGACCGCTTCGTGCTGCTGATGACAGGCACAGACGATAGACCAACGTCGGCCAACTACTCGTCTTGCTGCGGAGCGCCGCCCTGCCCTGGGCCGCACACCGAAACTGTACAACAAAGAATGACAATTGCACTGCACAGAAATGAGAGAGAGAGAGAGAGAGAGAGAGTCAGACACACACACACACACACACACACACACACACGCGCACTGGGGTGCAGCAGTCGCTGTTTGAGTGCGTTTCTGCGACTCTATGTAGCTCTGGCAGTGGATGACGGATCTGGTCCGTTTTCCGACATAGTGCTCATGTACAACGATTATTTATTATTTACTAATAATAAATAAACGCTCTACGTTATTTTTTGGCCGTCGATTTCTAGTCTCAACTAACCGGAGAAACATTTTATACTTTTTTCCAAGTATTGGATAATTTAATACTCGGTCTTTTCCTGACGACATGCGCGACGAGAAGATAGAAGAATGCTCTCCCCCAATTGTTTTTAGTTTTTCCTTAATAATGTTCTGTCCGATCTACACCTGTAAGGCTGTGACCACCAAATAATCATTTCTGTTTTTCTTTCCTAATTATGGCAAAGCTCCGGTTGTACAAATAATCATTTTCTTTCCTGACGACACGCGCATCGAGGCCCCTCTTCTTCCTGACACAGACCTGTTTTTTCMCCCTTTTTTTTTTTTACACAAGAAAACTCAGTTTTTTCCCTTTTGACGGTGTCTGACTTTTTTTCTTTCCTCTTCTTTTCTTTTTTTCCCTCAGTTTCTAATTATCGGATTTCTTTTGAATACAGATCGAATCATGCTGATCGTGCGCGGAAAACAAAATAACAGCAAAAAACAAGAGGCTGCGGCTCCATTCCACTTCTGGTACGCTCTCCTCCTACAACAGGCAAAGGGAGGGAGAAAACGCAAAAAAAAAAAAAAGAGGGGAAAAAAGCCGTCAGTAAGTCAGCACTCCACCGTCGTCTTCTATGTTCACATTAGAGCGTGGGGAAGGGAGGGGGGGTAGGGGCGGGAACGTGTCGGCATGGCTAAGAAATTCTTCAAACAAAGAAAATGGAAAAAAAACGATACGGAATCAGGTCCTGTCCCATGATTCTTCCTATGTTCTACAGCCGGGATACCGATCCGCAATAGAGGCCGCTTCCTATCTTCTGCAGTAAAAGGGATCGCTACGATCCGCAGTTCTAATCCTCTCCTATCTCCTGCAGTCGGAATAGCGATCCGTAATACAGTAGTCCTATCCTACTCCTATTTTCTGCAGTAGTCGGGATACGGATCCGCGATTTGAGTCCTCTCCCTGTCTCCTGCAGTGACTGTCGGGATAGTGATCCGCTATAGAGTTCTCCTCACTATCCTACGCTGTCGGGATGGCGATCCGACAAAAAGGATTCTCTGTCGCTATTTCCTGCAGTCGGGATACGGATCGGGCACAAGAGTCCTCGCCTTGTATCTTCTATTTTCCGCAGTCGGGTTACTGATCCGGAAAAAAAAAAAAAAAAACGTTTAACGTCTGCTATCTCGCTAGAACACACTGTCCGTCATTTTCTCCCAGTCGGGATACCGATCCGGAATAGATCGCGCATACAGATCCGAAATCGTAATCGAACGACCGAGAATTCAAGTTCAAATGCAAACTCACATTTAAAAAGTTGGGGGGAAAAAAAAGACGTTAAATACCAGAAGAAGACGTGCGATGAGCACAGTCAAAAAATATTTGAAAGGGAAAAAAAATAAAAAAAAATATCAAATGTGAAAAGACGAAGAAGAAAAGAAAGCAGACGGCTACGGTAAGACAACCAAAAAAAAAAAAAAAAAAAAAAAAAAAAAAAAAAAAAAAAAAAAAAAAAAAAAAAAAAAAAAAAAAAAAAAAAAAAAAAAAAAAAAAAA